CCATTGTACAGACTCTGGAGTTTCCAGACCACCTTAATGACCACTGGGGGTGACCAGGTCATCTGAGTTCTTTCCAATCCACCAGATTACCAAGGTTACTCTAGTTTTCACTTTTTCCTATTGGATTTTAGCAGTTACTGACATATTGATGGTGACAGACAAATCCCAATGGACTAATAAATGTCATTGTTAGGTGGTGTGGGATGGGGGCTTGATGTGCTCTGCACATCAATCCCCAAACAAGTCAGAATTTGTCAACTAGTTAAGAGAATGATTTACAGTCACTAGAAAAATAACACGTCTGGGCAAAAATTACCAACTTGAGTTCACTCCTATCTTTTTTTTTTTACACAGTAAAAAATAGTATTTATTGAACCTTTTGACACAGTTTAAACAAACAACTATTTGTGTGGCTCATACTTATAATCCCAACACCCTGGGAGGCCGAGGCGGGTGGATTGCTTGAGCCCAGGATTTCCAGACCAGCCTGGGCAACATGGCAAAATCCTGTCTCTACTAAACAAATACAAAAATTACCTAGGCATAGTGGCACTGGGGTGTCTAGGCACTGGGAGCCCCACCCAGCTACTGGGGATGCTGAGGTGGGAGGATCGCTTGAGTCCAGGAGGTTGAAGCTACACTTGAGCCTGAGCAAGACTGAGGCCCTGTCTCAAGAAAAACCAACAAAAACCAACAAAAACCCACAAAGAAACAAACAAACAACTATGTATGTACTGAAGAAGCCCACATATAAAAGTGGGCGCTGGCCGGGCGCGGTGGCTCAAGCCTGTAATCCCAGCACTTTGGGAGGCCGAGGCGGGTGGATCACAAGGTCAAAAGATCGAGACCATCCTGGTCAACATGGTGAAACCCCATCTCTACTAAAAATACAAAAAAAAATTAGCTGGGCATGGTGGCGCATGCCTGTAATCCCAGCTACTCAGGAGGCTGAGGCAGGAGAATTGCCTGAACCCAGGAGGCGGAGGTTGCGGTGAGCCGAGATCGCGCCATTGCACTCCAGCCTGGGTAACAAGAGCGAAACTCCGTCTCAAAAAAAAAAAAAAAGAAAAAAAAAGAAAAAAAAAAGTGGGCGCTAACTGAAGAGCGTGTCTGTCCCCCCGAAGCTGCCTGTGGCACGTGGAATGAGACAGCTGGGCACTGTGCAGGGCTCGCCACCCACTCACCTGGCGCCTCTTCCCAAGATGTGAAAGCGGCTCAGAGTCCCTCTCAGGCGTTAGCTGGGGCATCTTCTGAAGGTCAAAAGGTGCTGCAGCTGCTGATCTGCCCAGCCCTAGAGCCAGGCACTCTGGCACTGATGAAAAGGGCTCTGAGGACAAAGGGGACCCTGTGCACCTGGATCGGCCACAGGCGGTGGAAGGAGGGGACAGGTGATCTGGTTTCTATGATGCCCGACCCCAGTGGGGCGGGGGGAGCAGGGACGGCTGGCTCTGCGTGGCACCTTCTGTCCTAAATCAAGCTGCTGATAGATGCCTTCCTTAGGTCCAGGACACCCAGTTTCTTTCTGGCCCCTCTACTGCTCTCGCTGTTTGCTGCTTGCACTGACACTGAATTGTCACATGTCACTACGTGATCCTGAGAATGACTGCAGAATGACACACTAGTTTCGGCCCTGAAAAATAACCTACAGGTCTCTGCAGTAGAGGCTACTCCATGCTCCGTAAGCCCTGGGCCCAACCTATGCCTAGGCAGGGAAGTTAAGGGGCACAGGTTGGCAGCTCATGCCCAAGCTGGCCTTGGAGCTTTTTCCTCTGACTTGACTGGCCTGGGCTCTTCCCTTGACCCCTGCAGTCAGGTTCTCTCCTTGTGCTGTCTTGACCCTCACAGCATCTCCCTTTGCCTCTTCTGTATTTTCTGACCCGGAAATTTCGAGCCTGTCCTCTGGGAAGCCCTCTTTGACTCACAGCGTGGGTTAGAGCCTTGTTCTGGTGCTCCTGTAGCTCCCCAGATTTCTCTGATCATCACCTCCATCAACCTTCGCTGCGATCACACCTTTCATTGTTGGACCATCTACTTGACTGTAAGTACCGAGGACAAAGAGACACACTCAGTTCTGCTCCCCACCTCCCCTAGTGCCGTGCTCAGTGTCTGGTCCCCACAGTGCTCACCAAATACTTCTGAGTCAAATTAAAACCATCCCTGCTCCAAAACATCATGGGGTCTAGCCATAGACACAGTTCTCGTCATTCAGACTCACAGCCAACAGGGGCCCCTAGGCTGGGCCGGCTGGGCCTAAGGAGGCTGGAAGAGGAGGCTCCTTCACTGGTCCTGAGCCGTATTTCCCAAGACCTCTCTGTTTCTCTGGTGATTCTCTAGAGGCAAGGGTTCAAGCCCCACAGTGCTGCTGCCCAGGCCCACCGCCACCACCTCCCATCACACGTCATCCCCAGCTGGCTCTGGCTGTCAATCTCAAGCCCCAGACACATTATGAGCACATCCCACATCCACCAGCCAACTGCTGTGTAGTCCCCGATACGGCTTCATCTTGGACAAACTTGAAGAGGCCTATTTTTATTTCCTAGCTTTGGATCCCAGATGCAAGGGAGGTGTACGGCAGCGGAAAGAGCACAGGCTCCGTTCTAAAGCTCTGGAGTCACAGCATGTCATGCCTCCCAGCTGTATGACCTTCGGCACATGACTTCCTCAGAACCTCAATTTTCCTGTCTGTAACTTGAGCATAACAATACCTGCATCACAAGGGGACTGTGATGCCCGGGGGACAGAACATAAGAAAGCATCCAGTAAGAGATTAGAATCTAGGACACTTTCAGCAAAGGCCTGTTTCCCTTTGTGCACCAGGGCCACTGCCCTCCCTTCTGACCAGGGCTGAGCCCACTTCAAGCTCACTTAAGGCACCCAGTGCTGAGAATTCACTTGTCTCACGGTCTCACGGTATCTGTTCTCCCCTCCTCTTGGCAACAGAACCTCTGGTTTTTAAATGGTGGGTGGCTGTTGCCCAAAATGAAACTACATTTCCTGGTCTGCCTTGCAGACAAGCGCTGCTAGATAGCTGCGACCTGGTTGATGAGGCATGGGTGGAAACACCACCTGTGACTTCTGGGAGGGGCATGCTTGCTTTCCTCCCTGCCAGCCTCCTCAAGGTCGCGATAAGACACGGCAATGGGAGCCTGAATGGTCTTTCACTTTAAGGTGGAAGCAAGGGCAGAGGCTGCAGAAGAAGAAAGCGGGTGCCTGAGTCCTTGAGCTCTGGGGAACCAGGCTGGCATGGATCCTTGCCATGTGGACGTCATCTGTGCGACAGAGAAGTGATCTTACTTCCTACTTTAGCCACTGTTGCTTTGAGTTTTCTTTCACTCCGAGACAAACCTCATTCTGACTGATTATAGCCCTGTACCCCTTTGACCAACGTTCCTCCCTGGGTAATTATCAGAAGTTCACTGCAGGCCTTTGGTGAGCTTCCAGGGAGTCCCCAGCAGAAAAGACTGGCCTATGCACCTCTGAAGGTGGACACGTAGGCCTCCAAGGGCCGCTCCTTCCAGGGAACCTGCTGACCATCTTGGCACTGTAGCCTCAGTTAGCTCCAGAGGTGAAGGAAGGGGACCACGCTGACTAAGAATCTGTTACATAGCAGCTGTTCTTATGTGACAGGAGCCAGTGAGGGACAAGATCAACTTGAGAAAACATTAAGAAATGGCATTAGCCTTGCTGATCTGACATCAGCTGTGGTCCTTATCTATCTGGTGACAGTCTCCAGAAGCAATGTACTCTTTTGTACTTGCATCCATGTGAACTAAATTTGGGCCTTAAGAAAATCGCACAGAGGAGTTAGAAAAGATCTAGACAGTGCCACTCTAAGTGTGATCCACAGACAAGCTGCCTGACCTCACCTTGTTAGTGAGATGAAAAGCTTGTGCCGGAACATAGATCAACTGCATCACCAAGCACTTGTTCCTCAGCTGACTTTTTTTTCCCAGAGCAAGACTTTCTCAATGAAGGAAGCAATGGAGTGATGTCCATTCTAGCTAAGCTCTTTATCTGGCTTCAGACTGCACTCTGAATAGTGCTGTTTTAGAATATGGTTGCCCTGTAAATGGAGCTTTACAAAAACATATACTAGGTTCCATCCCAAACTATGTGAATTAGAATCTCTAAGACTGGAGCCCAGATAACTGTATTTTAATAAAGCACCAATGTTGATTCTGAGGAATAGCCCTGGTGAAGAACCACTGTGTGGATATAAGAAAGAGGACGTAGGAGAGAATCTTGTCTTTTCAGGACCAAGACATGTGAACCATGCATTTGCTTTAAATGTACACTGGCTCTGCTGGGCGTGACACTTTTTTTTTTTTTTTTTTTTTTTTGAGATGGGGTCTCACTCTGTTGCCCAGGCTGGAATGCAGTGGCACAATCTCATCTCCCAGCAATCTTCGCCTCCCGGGTTCAAGTTACTCTTCTGCCTCAGCCTCCTGAGTAGCTGAGAATACAGGTGCATGCCACCACGCCTGACTAATTTCTGTACAGAGACGGGGTTTTGCCATATTGGTCAGGCTGCTCTTGAACTCCTGACCTTGTGATCCACCCGCTTCAGCCTCCCAAAGTGCTGGGATTACAGGCATGAGCCACTGAGCCCAGCATTAACACATTTTTAATAGAGTTAGAGTCTTTCCTGGGCTCTCCTTTATCACTTACTGATTTGACAGGAGTTGGCAAATTACCTTGGAGACATCTGGTAATAATCTTACTATTGGCCTTGTTCATATTTTAGTTTTTCCTAAAGCTTTCAGTCCTTACTGCATTTATTCTCTCATGAAACACAAACCAGCTCCTTTAAAACCAATACAAAAGAGGGAAAAGAACTTCCCACTTTCTCCTATGACAGAGCCCCTAGCAACAACACTGCTGTTATCAGACACCTCTGGCTGAATGAGGGGTTTGGTGCCTACGGGAACAGGCCAATGGTTCCAAAATGATCTTCTGTGTATGACTCCAAGGTGATGGAACCCACACCCACTGTCCCTTACCTGCAGTTCCCAGGCTCAGCAGCACAGCCACCCAGAAGATCCAGAAGAAAATGAGGATGGCAAATGTCCACAGTGGCTGGAACAGCAGGAAGGGAGCGCTGTTGATGGCTTTATTTGTGATTTGGAAAAGCTCAACTGTCAATTTTATTCTCTTTCTGAGAACAAAAATCAAGACGAGCAGGACTGCCTGGTGAGAAAGGGGTTTGAGTAAATTATTTCTAAATAATGGAGAACTGGGTAGAACTTAAAGCAAGCCTTATTATTATGACATCTCAGCAAACAGTGCTTTTAAGACAGTTACTCACTACTTTGTTATAATTGAACAGATGAATTTGCAAACACTAATTGAGCATCTAGTAAGTGCTGGCCCCTGGAATAGATTTTTTTTTTTTTTTTTTTTTTTTGAGACTGAGTTTCGCTCTCATTACCCAGGCTGGAGTGCAATGGCACGATCTCGAGCTCACCGCAACCTCCGCCTCCTGGGTTCAGGCAATTCTCCTGCCTCAGCCTCCTGACTAGCTGGGATTACAGGCACGTGCCACCATGCCCAGCTAATGTTTTGTATTTTTAGTAGAGACGGGGTTTCACCATGTTGACCAGGATGGTCTCGATCTCTTGACCTTGTGATCCACCTGCCTCGGCCTCCCAAAGTGCTGGGATTACAGGCATGAGCCACCATGCCCGGCGATTTTTTTTTTTTTAAACCGGGTCTTGCTCTGTCACCCAGGCTGGAGTGCAGTGGTGCGATCTCGGCTCACTGCAACCTCTGCCTCCCTCAGCCTCCTTGAGTAGCTGAGATTATAGGTGAGCACCAGCATGCCTGGCAAATTTTTGTATTTTTAGTAGAGATGGGGTTTCACCATGTTGGTCAGGCTGGTCTCAAACTGCTGACCTTGTGATCTGCCCACCTTGGCCTCCCAAAATGCTACGATTATAGGCATGAGCCACTGTGCCCAGCCGGAATAGATCTTAATAGCTATGATAGTGAACAAGACACAGTCCCTACATAAAGGGCCTTGCAGTCTGGTTGGGAAAAAAGATAGAATAAGTCTTCTAGTGTCAAGGAACTGCCTTACATCCTCCCTCCACATCCCACAGAACCCAAGATGTTGCAAAAGGCAAAGGAATATGAGTACGAGGCAGAAAGTCTCAAAGCTGCTTTCTGTGCCTTTTTCTGGCTTTCCCTCCCTGCATATAAATGGTAACAAATCTCGTATTAATGAAACAAACATTCTGCACCCCTTCATCCCCATGCAGCCACTGATGTCTCTTACTCTTTTCATGGCCAAGCTTCTTGGCTTGCCTACATCCACCATCTACACTTCCATGCCCCAAATCATTCTTCAACCACTCGCAATCATCCAGACCCCAACACCCTTTTGAAACAGCTCTCCCTGAAGTTACTTCATGTGACCTCCTGAGCGTTTAATGCCATGGAAACATTCCAGGTCTTGCTCAGCTTCAGCATGGCATCGGATCCCTTGTCCACTCCTCTTTTCTCGAAACTTTCTCCTCCCTTGGCTTCCATGATCTTTCTTTTAGCCCTCCTACTTCTTTAATTGCTGCTTGAGATTGTCTAGGGGTATCTCCTGTTCCTCTGTGCTTTTAGCATCCTTCCTAGATGCTGACAAACTCCAAATAAAAACCTCCAGCCTCACCTTCCTCTAGGTGCTGGAAGAGTAAGTACATCAGTTATTGACAAGGCCACGGATGTCCTAGAGTATCTCAATTTATCCTGGATCAAATTATCTTCATACTAGAACCTTCTCTTCCGCCCATATTCTTTATCTTCAGTGGCCCTAATTTTCTGGACTCTTCAAGAGTTAGGTTCCCCTCTTGTGTGCTCTCATTTTATTCCACACTTATCCTATTGTACTATTTAACATATCCTATAAATGTTTCCTTGTCTGAATTTCCCATTAGATTAGGCTCCTAGAGAGCAGGGGCATCTCTTATCGTCAAGGACTGGCAAAGTGTCCAGTACAATCGCAATCACCTCTGGTTCACTTTCCTCAATACCTCTCCTGCCATCCTTTCCAATTTCCATGGCTGATACCACAGCTCACGTCTCAGTCTCTGTCTTTTAGGCCCCAATCACCTCCTTAGCTTTCTACATTTAACCACCCTGGCCCCACCCCACCCCCACCTCAATCCCTCCTCCACTCTACAGCTAAGGGGAGCTTTGGAAAGCACGAAGACAAAGATGGTGTTTCCCAGCTCAAACTCCATCCATGCCACCCCACTGCCTCTGGAGAAACAGCAAACCTATCACCACTGTAGATCAGGACCTTCCTGACCTGACCCTCTCTGCACCTGCATCTCAGGCTTCCATCAAAGGGACTTCCTGCAAGTCACTCCCTGCCCATGTGACCTCAGGCATGCTGTGCCCTTGGCCTGAGATGCTCTTTCTCTTCCAGCTGGGCTGGAGCATTCCTGCCCTCAACAGTCAAGTGGAGGAAAGACAGTCGGATGACAGTGGGATAAACTGTGCAGAAGCTGCTCCAGGATCTAGGAGCATAGCTTCCTGACCATGCCTGGGAAGGGTGTCAGGAGAGGCCCTGCGAGATACCCAGAGGAGACCCTTCGGTTGTAGAGGCTGAGGAGGAACGCCCGTGAATTCTCAAAATGAGTCAAACTAGTTCATCCAGCGACTGGGAATTGGTAAGAACTCATGAAAAATGAATGGGAGGTGAACTGGGACTCAACTCCGCCTTCTGGAGTAGCCCCGTGCAGAACTCACGAACACGGAGAAAATAGTCTCTCTGTTCCCATGGCCTCCCCTCTCCCTGACTTTACCCTGACGCTGGGATCTGGGTGGCATAAATGGTGCAGTGTGCAAACACAAAGGAAGCCCTGTGGAGAGCAGATGGAGGAACTGGGTCCTCCCCAGCTCTCAGCCCTGCTCTTCTTCCCCTTTGCCCAGCCTGGGGCATGGGGGAGCCCTTTCGTCACCAGCCTCCTTTGCAGACTCTGCTGAGTGTCCGGCCTGGTTCCTGCCTGAGGCCAGAACAAACAGGTGCTTTCCTTTATTGTACCCTTGCTCCCTGGCACAATTTATGTGAAGATGACAAACCTAAAACCTCACCATGGAAAGGAGAAAATGTGAACAACTACCAAACGTGGGAATAGAAAGATTTCCTGTGAGAGAATTGGGTTTGTGTGAGAATCTGCATTTTCTGCAAGATTCAGTGGGCTTTTGGAAAACCCTGCCTGCAGCTCCTCCACAGAACAATCGGTAACCAACACACCAGCAAGGACGACTCTGGGGAGACCTGAAGCCAGTGCGGGGTCCCCTGCCCCAGGGCCTTGTGATTCTAGCCTTCCTAATGGTCCCTGGAGAGAGTCCTGAATGACATTTGGTTGCCAGCCACCCTCCCGCAGTAACTAATATCTGCTGCCTCATTATTCTAAGTTGGCTTGTTTTCAACCAGAAAGTTCACTGAGGAAGCAGCAGGTTCTCTGAAACCCAAAATAACCGAGTGGCCAGAAAGTCTGGAAACAAAGGGCTCTGCGTGCTAGAAGGCAGCAGGAGCTGACACCCCTGAGAGCTGAGCACACGCTGGCAAGGGGGAGCCGCTCCTCACAAACAGGGAATGGGAACCGCCTGCCGCCACCCACCCACCATGCCCACCTTGTAGCCCCTTGGGACCAAGAACGGCACACAGCAAGTATAACAGAGCAATCTCTGGGGGGTGGCAGGAATGACTTGGGAAGAACTAAAACCTTTTCTCATTTTCGGAGGGTTTTGATTTATTCCTATACAGTATCTCCAATCCAAAGAAGGCCCATTCTGAATCAAAAGAAAAACAAATTCTAGTTGTTTTTGGCTAGAATGCAATGATTTGGATTTCAGAGTTCTGGCTGGCTACCCGACCTACAGCTAGAAGACCGTTTCTTACCGTGATGCCTGTAGATACAATAGCAAACCCCAGCACACACTTCATATTTTCCCTCTCTGTGTCCAATTCTATGCTGAGGTCATTGGTATAGTCATAATACAGCCACCACAAGACACCGCAGACAACTAGGAAAGAGAACAGTAGCAGAGCTCAGGGCACCCGCCATGAGATAACCATTCCTCAGCACACAGAATCACACAGGGAAGTCCAGCCACTGCCCACCGGCTGCATGGCGCTGCTCCGGCAGTGGGTCCCAAATCCCCAGGGGATCCTACAGGCAGCTGCTGCCCTCTGGAGAAGCTGGGCAGAGCCAGGGCAACCCACAGCGGACCCACCAGTCCTGGGATGATGCTTGCTTTGGGAGAACCAGGGAGGTGACTCCAGAACACAGGCGCCTAGCCCACAGGTCAAGTCTGGGCATGAGCAGGAGGAAAACCCCATGGACAGGATGGTGATAGGGCAATGCTAGAGCCCACTGTCTAAATGTGTGCGGCAAGCTCTGCTGGTGACAACTCCTGTGGGAGCCTGGATGTTGGCTGCTTGCCCACAAAACTGGTCGAATTTACATGGCCTGTGGGAATCACGGAAGTCAGAGGCTCACTTTGAAGATGCCCTAACGTTGCAAGTACTCCACTTTTAGGTATAAAATACCACCTTATGCCATATCCGCAGTAACTATAGGAAGGCTGGAGTGGATGAGAAACATCCCTCAGCAGTCACTGTACCGGTCCTCCCACACAGGGCCACAGGGCTCTGAGTTGCTGAGGGCAGAGCTGATGACTCAGGGGCATGAAACATTACAATCACATCAGTTTTTAAAAATTAAAATATACTCATCCGCTACATAATGACATTTTGATCAACAGCGGACTGCATATATGGTGTCTCATGAGATAGTAATACTGTCCTTTTCTGTGTTTAGATACACAAATACTGACCATTCTGTTCCAGCTGCCAACAGTATTCTGTACAATAGCATGCTGCACAGGTGTGCAGCCTAGGAGTCATGGGTTATACCAGGTAGCCTGGGTGTGTAACAGGCTCAACCATCCAGGTTTGTGTTTGAGTATACTCTGACGTTCACACAGTGAGGAAACCGTCGAGAAACGTGTTTCTCAGAATGCATTCCTCCCCGTCGTTAAGTGACACATGACTATACCCCATGCCAATATGTAAATGGCTGCTGCCTTGAGCCTCCTGCATGCCCTTGTAACCTCGAACCTCTCTCCCAACAACTGCTGGTGAGATTCACAATCCAGCAACCAGAAGGGAAATAAGGGCACAGTGCAGGGTCTCCAGGACTCTGCTGCTGCGTGGGCCTCTGTGTCTTCCAGCCGGTCACAGCCTTTGCATGACAACTGTGGGCACCCACGTGCCAATGGGTGAGGTGCCTGTTCAGCAGAAATCCTTAAAATGCTGCTGATGGGTGCTGGAATCGTCTTTTAATGTTATGGATACAGGATCACGCTATTGGCAAGCTCATTTCAGGGGCAGCATAGCATAGCAGAAGAAATAACAGATTTGACTGGACATGGTGACTCATGCCTGTAATCCCAGCAATTTGGGAGGCCAAGGTGGATGAATCACTTGAGCTCAGGAGACCAGCCTGGGCAACATGGTAAAACCCCGTCTCTATAAAAAACACAAAAATTAGCTGGGGGTAGTGGCATGTGCCTATAGTCCCAGCTACTTGGGGGCTGAGACAGGAGGATCACTTGAGCCCAGGAGGTTGAGGCTGCAGTGAGCCATGTTTGCAGCACTGCACTCCAGTCTGGGCAACAAGGTGAGAGCCTGCCTCAAAAAAAAAAAAAAAAAAAAAAAAAAAAAAGAGAGAGAAAGAAAGGAAAGGAGAAAAAGAAAGAAAGAGAGCAAGAGAGCGAGTGAGTGAGCGAGCAAATAAACAAACAAGATTGGTCATTAACTTTGCACTGTCTGTGAGACACGGCAACCCCCTGCCATCCTCCCTGGGCCTGAGTTTCGTCATTTGTAAAGTGACGGGCTAGATCTTTAAGATTTCAGGTAGCTTACAAATGCCAACTTTTAAGTTCTATACTTAATGGAAAGTCTTTTCATTTAATTGAAATCAGTCAAGTAGAGAAATACTTACATGACAATCCCAAAATAATCAACGAAATGAAAATGTGAACCAGAAGGGTGGTGATGAATCTGAAGGTAAACATCACCGCCAAAGACAAGGCTGAAAAATTAAGCAAAACACATAAACCTCAATAGCAACCAAGGGTAGAGGCGATGCTGGTAGCACTGGGATGACAAAACCCTCCAGAACAGTGATGCCTAGGATTTTATTCAATCTCTAAATATCTTGGGATATCTACTAAACTCCAAATAGAAATAACAAGGTATACATGGGGCAGTCTCTGATGTACCATTCAGTCGTGCCATAAGCTGGTCTCTGAAAGTGCTAGTATTCTCCTTAAAAAAAAAAAAAAATTTGTTTTTGGCTGGGCATGATGGCTCACATCTGTAATCTCAGCACTTTGGGAAGCCAAGGTGGGTGGATCACCTGAGGTCAGGAGTTTGAGAACAGCCTGACCAACATGGGGAAACCCCATCTCTACTAAAAAAACAAAAAAATCAGCCAGGCGTGGTAGCGGGCGCCTGTAATCCCAGCTACTCAGGAGGCTGAGGCATGAGAATCACTTGAACCCGAGTGGCAGAGGTTGGCAGTAAGCTGAGATTGCACCACTGCACTCCAGCCTGGGCAACAAAGTCAGACTTTGCCTCAACAAAAAAAAAGAAAGAAAGAAAAAAAAAATTAGCCATATTATTCTCAAAATGCTCAAATCTTTTTTTCTTGTAAGTTCAAATGAATCATTTAAAATCCTTAGCACACTTAACTCTTTTGACTGCATACTGGGCTTATGTAAACTTCTAACTTTACATGTTCTAAGGTACTCTTATTAAATATGAAAGACTAATAATGCCTTTAAAATGAAGAATTTAAGATCCTAACCATGAAGTAAGCTGTATGTATTTTTTCGACATAGGAAGTCAGGACCATCTAGGTATCTTGGCGTTATGGTTAGTAAGGTGGGTTTTGGGATTACACAGATCTGGGTTTGAGTCTTAGCTCTACCACCTCTTCTACTAGGTGTGTAACCCTGGCCAAGTCCTGAACCTCTCTAAGCCTCAGTTTCCCCTCCTACGAGTGGTACTGGGATTCTGATGAGGTTTCGATGAGTGAAGAATAAGTACAATGCCAAGCACATGGTAAGTGCTCAGTAAACAACAGCTGTTAATACCAAGATGAATCTAGTAAGTACATGACAATGTCCTTGCAGGGACGTTAGGTCATCATATAAGGTATCAGGAGTAACCTGAGGGTTTTTTGTTATATATTGTAACCAAGCCAGTATTTGGGAGTCAAGGAATCCCGTCCGGGTCATTTGAAGTCATTTTCAGCCTAAATAAGAAGTCTGAAAGTCATAATGGTGACAAGTTAAGTATTCCCAAGCATTCAGGAATTAGGAAGCTTTTAGTAATGAAATTGTGGAAACTCAATTTGTTAACTGTTAGAAATATGTTAATGTCTGACCAAAGAGTTTCTCTCAACCAAGAGGTTAGGGGGCTGCCACTGGAAAGGAGGGCGACAACAGGCTCTTACCACTGTCTAAAGGAGCAGAGTGTATTAACCTGTTCAAAGAGAAAGTTGGTTCTTGATTTCAGACAACTGAAACATAGAAAATGGGAAGTCAAAAGGTCAAGAGTGGGTAGCTGCTTCCAGAAATGCCCAGAGAAGGCTCAAGGCCTTGTCCTGCCTACAACCCAAAGCAGGTATGTCCCTTAGATGAGTGGGATGCAGCAGACACCTGCAGACTGACTCCATTTAACATGGATGCCCACGTGTCCTCGCCCTGCTCACTGAGCAGCCTTCTGCTCTGGCTCACCTACAGGTGGAGGCATGTGTGGCCAGAAGACATGGTTTCTGGTTGCCCTGACAGTTGTATTTTTCATGGCCCATCCACAAATTGGCAATCTGCTTTCTACACTCATCCCCAGTGAGGAGCAGACACTAGGACATGGTCAGTATATCAAGGCAACCCCACCCCACTGAGGCTTTCTGCCAGAGGGCCAGCTGTTCCTCTATTCTTACTGCCCTCATCCCACTTAAATCTGAAACACTGAAAATATCTATAAAGAAAATACAAGTTTTATATTTAAGTCAAGAGGCTAATTTTCATTATACCATGTACGTAAGTGCTAGGAACTTCGGCATTCCATAAACAATGACTCAGATTAACTTAACTGAGAATTACCTAATGCGAGGACACACAGGCCAAGGACTGTGTCTCTTCCCGACATGATTCCACTTAGAATTCGGTGGAGGGTGTCAGCATCATTTATCAGAACAGATGCAAACAGGGAGTAGCACTCAGGCGTTTGAGGGATGCATCGGTTAAACAAGGGAAATGACTTGCTAAAAATTAAAAAAAAAAAATGGCAAAAATGTTAATTTACTATTTATGTTTAAGAGATGTTTATTTAACATTCTCAACAACCAGGAAAGCTTAAGAACTGTGGTTAACAGAGCGGAGCCCAGCATCCCATTTGCAGAGCACACCTTAGAAAGCCAGGCAGGTAAGCTCTGCTACACTGATTAGGTAATGTTCTGAATAGGAAGTTGATTATGGGGACCCATAGAAACCAAAAACCTAAACTTGGGGAGAAACACTTTAAAAAATAAAAATGCCATATATTTAAGGTGTACAATGTGACGTTTTGATATACATAAACTTCGTGAAATGATCAACAGTTAAGCTAATACACGTATCCATCAATTCCCATAGTTATATTTTGAGAACACCGGAGATCTACTGTTGTAGCAAATATCAAACATACAGCACATAATTATTTTTTAGGTACATGTGGACTGCATATATGATGGTGGTTCATGAGATAATAATGCTCTACTTTATATAGCCAGAATTTATTCATCCTATGTAACAGACACTTGTATCCTTTGACCAACATCTCTCATTTCCCCTGCCCTCCCCCCTGATAACCACCATTCTATTCTCTGTTTCCATAAATTTGACTTTTTTAGATTCCACATACAAGTGGGTTCATGCATGAGATTTGCCCTTGTGCTCCTGGTGTATTTCATTTAACATAATATCCTCTGGTTCATCCCTGTTGTTACAAATAGCAGGATCTCTCTTTTTTAAAAAAGGCCAAATACTACTCTGTGGTATGTGTACATATACTACGTTTTCTTTAAGGGGAACTACTTTTTTTGTTGTTGAGACAGGGTCTGGCTCTGTCGCCCAAGCTGGAGTACAGTGGCTCGATCATGGGTCACTGCAACCTCTGCCTCCAGGGCTCAAGCTATTCTTCTACCTCAGCCTCCTGAGTAGCTGAAACCACAGGCAAGTGCCATGATGCCCAGCTAATTTTTGCATTTTTTTGTAGAGGCAGAGTTTCGTCATGTTGCCCAGGCTGGGCAACATAAGCTCAAGTGATCCGCTCACCTTCATGTCCCAAAGCATTGGGATTATAGGCGTGAGTCGCCGTGCCCGGTGGGAACCACATTTTTTACTCTCCTGTCTTAGCCCTTCTTAGACACAAACTACCAACTCCAACAAAAGAATTTTATTTCTGTAAGGAACTATTAGGGGTGTGAACTGGATCAGACAGAAGCTGTGTTAATGACACTATTAGCTTAATTCTGCCCTGTTTAGGAAGGCACATGAGGCTTGAGAGCCTTGCTGTGAACAGTGGATGCTTAATAAATAAATAAATACCAAATGTATGATTGATGCTGCAGGTAACTGCCGTGGGTAGATGAGAAAGTTGACCTTTTTTAAGGCCCTTCCTGAAATGTAAAAACGCCTAGGAATATGCATTCTAATGAATCTTCGTGAAGCCACTGATACCTTCACAGGGTCCTGCCCTCCTTCTTTTCCATGAACCCCAAATGATAGAAATAATCCCAACCAAAAAAGTGTCAAATTATCTGAAAAGTTGTTCAAAACCCAGTCACCAATCATTCTGTGCAATGTATGAGAATGAAACAAACAAGAACCCAAATTTAAACAAGATTTCATTGCCCTGAAGAAAAGAATGACTTCCTAAAGGTTTATTTTTTCTTTTTTTCTGAGTTGGAGTCTCACACTGTCACCCAGACTGCCTCAACCTCTGCCTACTGGGTTCAAGCAATTCTCCTGCCTCAGCCTCCCGAGTAGCTGGGATTACAGGCGCCCGCCACTACACCTAGATAATTTTTTGTATTTTTAGAAGAGACGGGGTTTCACTATATTGGCCAGGCTGATCTCGAATTCCTGACCTCGTGATCCGCCCACCTCTGCCTCCCAAAGTGCTGGGATTACAGGTGTGAGCCACTGCACCCAGCACCCCAAACTTCTTATGAAGCACAACATAGAACATGTGGAATAATCTTACTCCAGAAGTCTCAATATTACAGAAATAGTTCCTGAGTCACTGGATGGTGATTTAAGCAAAGAGTAACATGAAGGGTATCTTTTTAAATTATATTTTTGAAGGGGTAATACATTTACATGGCTTAAATTCCAAAAGGTACAAGAGACCAAACAGCAAGAAATTGCCTTTCCTTGGCCCTGAGCTGCTGAAGTACATTTCCTCACACGCACCCATTGTTTTTGGTTTCTTGCAAACCATTCTAGAGGCTTTTATTTTTTAAAGCATATATAAATATCATAGGAAATTTAAATGAAACTTGCAGCTGAGCTCAAAGATAATAAAAATTATACTCCAAGATGAGATGCCAGACCCCACCATTCAGGGCTTGCCAAAAAAGAGGTGGGAGAAAAGTGGATAGATTATTCTTTTTTTTTTTGAGACGGAGTTTCGCTCTTGTTACCCAGGCTGGAGTGCAATGGCGTGATCTCGGCTCACCGCAACCTCCGCCTCCCGGGTTCAAGCAATTCTCCTGCCTCAGCCTCCCGAGTGGCTGGGATTACAGGCACGCGCCACCATGCCCAGCTAATTTTTTGTATTTTTAGTAGAGACGGGGTTTCACCATGTTGACCAGGATAGTCTTGATCTCTTGACCTCGTGATGCACCCGCCTCGGCCTCCCAAAGTGCTGGGATTACAGGTGTGAGCCACCGCACCCGGCTGGATAGATTATTCTTAAACCCGCACCCATACTGAGAGCATGAAAGAGTTGGAAGTTGATAAGAAAAGGGTTTTAAAAAATAAACTTTTAATTTCTGAATAATTTTAGAGTTACAAAAAAATGGTCACGATGTAGAGAGTTCCTGTGTATCCTTCACTCACCTTCCCCTAATGTGAACATCTTACATAACCACAGTATATTTGTGAAAATTAAGATTTAACATCAGCACTGAACTATAGCCTTTATTTTGATTTCACCATAACATCCTTTTTCCATTCCAGGATCTAATTCTGGATAGCACATGACATTTAGTCGGCATGTCTTCTCTTTGGTCATGACAGTTCATATTTTTTTTTTTTTTTTTTTTTTTTGAGACGGAGTTTCACCCTTGTTACCCAGGCTGGAGTGCAATGGCGCGATCTCAGCTCACCGCAACCTCCGCCTCCTGGGCTCAGGCAATTCTCCTGCCTCAGCCTCCTGAGTAGCTGGGATTACAGGCACGTGCCACCACGCCCAGCTAATTTTTTGCACTTTTAGTAGAGACGGGGTTTCACCATGTTGACCAGGATGGTCTCGATCTCTCGATATCGTGATCCACCCGCCTCGGCCTCCCAAAGTGCTGGGATTACAGGCTTGAGCCACCGCGCCCGGCGACAGTTCATATTTTTTGTAGAGACAGTCTCACTGTATTGCCCAAACTGGCCTGAACTCCTGAGCTCCATCCATCCTCCCACCTCTGCCTCCCAAAGTGTTGGAATTACAGGTGTGAGCCACTGTGCCTGGCCTGTGACAAGTTTCTTCGTTTTTCCTTGTTTCTCGTGATGTTGACATTTCTGAAATGTATTTTGTAAAATGTCCCTTAATTTGTAGAATTTCTTTCATGTTTTCTCCTGATTAGACTACGGTTAACAGGTTTTTGGGAGACGGCCACAAAGGCGAAGTGCCTTTCTCAGAGAATCATACCAGGGAACAGGACGACACTGGTGAAGTTAACCTTGATCACCTGGCTAAGGTGGTACCTGCCGGGTTTCTCCAGGTAAAATTGCTACTTTTCTCTTTCCCCTCTCCATTCTTTGGAAATGAGTCACTAAGCCTGGCGGACTCTCAAAGAGAGGGGAATGCCACCTCCCAGAGGAAGAAGTATCTACATAGGGATTCTTCTGTTAAGATTTATCCCTTTCACTGGGCACAGTGGCCCATGCCTGTAATTCCAGCACTTTGGGAGGCCAAGGCAGGTAGATCACTTGCGGTCAGGAGTTCGAGATCAGCCTGGCCAACATGGTGAAACCCCGTCTCTGCTAAAAATACAAAACTTAGCTGTGTGTGGTGGCAGGCACCTGTAATCCCAGTTACTTGAGAGGCTGAGGCAGGAGAATCACTTGAACCTGGCAGGCAGAGGTTGCAGTGAGCTGAGATCATGCCACTGCACTCCAGCCTGGATGACACAGAGAGACTCTGTTTCAAAAAAAAAAAAAAATTATCCCTTTCCCCCATTTGTTTATTTATTCAATCATTTATTTATGTCAGTATGGCCTCATGGATAGTTACTCTTTTCTTTGGGTTATAATCTGTAATTGTGTTACTCAATCTATTCCAGCTTTGGCCACTACGAGGCATCTGTGTCCTTTTGACATGACTCATTATTTTTCTTTCTTGAGCACTTCCTTACTTTCCGATGCTACAAAATGATGATACCAGGCATAGCTGGTATGCTCCTTATTCAAGTCCTAGAACCTGCCATTTCTCCAAAGAACCCTTGAAGACCAATAATTAGACACTATGATCTGGGTACTGGGTATGGTTCGGTATGACTGATTCTGGGCCTTATAATCAATCCTAGTATGTAGTTTCAGAATTGCTAATCATTCTACTACTGTATTGTTTAGGGAATGTTTAAAAAATGAAAAAAAAATTGTTAACCAGTACCTGTGAAGTAAACAAATGGACTGTCTGGAGTACAGCATTTATGTACAGCTCCTTTTCTCTTTAGCTTACAGTATCTAGTCACAAAGCTGTTTTCCAAAGTTACTCTCATCAGCTCCTTATTTGTCATTTAATTTGTCACCTGCTACACTTTATCCTAAGATCTCCTGACATCTTGATTTTAATTTTTATTTGCATATAGTAAAATCCACTCTGCTCAGGTGATGACAAGTGCAGAGAGTCTTTGGAAGCGCAACTTTGAAGAGCTGAATTTTTTTTTTTTAACTACACTTGTCATGTGACTCCATCCCCATTCCCAAAGAGAAGAGGCTGAGGGGTACTATTCCCAAGTCAGATGAGAAGGGTTGCATGGAAAACATAGCTTAGAGAATCACCTGGCTTCGGGTCTGAGCCACCCCAAGAAATCTGGAGAGTAAGCGGCTTTAACAGCAGAGCAGAGAGTTACAGTTGGGGAGTTAAGAGCCCCCAGGGCATTTGTCAGGGCAAAGGGTGAAGAGGGCTTCCTGGGGTCCAGTTGTGGGTCACATGTGCACAAGCCCCAGTGACAGGCTGCCATTGACCGTGTCTAAGACAGCCAGGTCAAAGCCTGTTGCGACCTTGGTAGAAGGAGCTGGAGGTGGCTGCTCTTTGAGCTGGCTAATTAATGTCTCGGGACTGAGGAAGGCTTCTCACGTGACCAGCCAGAGCAGAGATGCATTAGACTAGGTGAAAGGCACTGCAGCTGAAAGAGCCCCAAAGAACCCAAAACATGCCCGTGAGAGGAAGAGGTGGCCGGGACATCTCCCAAGCCCAGAGAATGCTGGTGCTAGTATCAGACAAGTAAATGTACTCCTGTTACCCTTTCCTTCTCTTCACTTTTGCTGCACCAGCCCCTTAGACAAAACCTGTTTTAGCAAGCTAGGAGAGGAAAAATAAACAGAAGAGGAGAGGAGCAGCTGACTTCAGCCTCCTTCCAGGACGGTGGCCTTGCCCACTTGCTCCTGGGTGAAGCGTGCGAGGGGCGGAAGTTTAAACCTTTAATCAAGTGAGAAGTTTATCATACTGGGCTGAATATTTTTTACTTTTTAAAAAGATTTTTGAGACGGGGGTCTTGCTCTGTCACCAAAACTGGAGTGCAGTGGATGACCACAGCTCACTACAACCCCAAACGCCTGGGCTCAAGAGATGCTCCCACCTCAGCTTCAGCTAGGACCACAGACATGTTCCCCTATACCAATCTACTTTCTAAATTTTTTATAGAGACATGGTCTCATTATGTTGTCCAGCTGGTCTTGAATTCCTGGACTCAGGCAATCCTCCAGCCCTGGCCTCCCAAAATGTTGGGATGGCAGGTACGAGCCACTGTGCCTGGTCTGGGCTGAACATTTTAATTATTGTAAGAGACTCGAAAGTGTCTCTTACAACTTAGTACATATTACCGAAAAGTTACCAGAGAAACCTTGGGAACTGCCTGTGTTTTTATTCAGTACAAAAAAACCCAATTCCCACTGAATAAATTTAAAAAGACAGAGAAAGGCAAAAATTGTTTTCTGACTACATCCTGTAAGTAATGCTTGATGTAATGGTTATACAAGCAAATATATACCTAAATGTATATATTTATATATACTTACAATATTTATATTTTCCACTTTTTATGCAAAAGACAGTACACTGCACACTGTTCTATTATTTGCTTTTTTTTTTTTTTTTTTACTTAATATGCTTTAGAATGTAAGGAATTCCTCTTTTTTACTGAAGGAAAATTTATATACAATGACATGCACTGATCTTAAACATAAAATTAGAGACTTTGTTAAACATATACATCTATCAACTACCACTCCTTTCAAGATATAGAATATTTCATTAGCTGGAGTAGGGATGCATCTTTTTTTTTTTTTTAAGACAGAGTTTCGCTCTTGTTGCCCAGGCTGGAGTGCAACTGCGCAGTCTTGGCTCACTGCAACCTCCACCTCCTAGGTTCAAGTGATTCTCCTGCCTCAGCCACCCAAGTAGCTGAGATTACAGGCACCTGTCACCACACCAAGCTAATTTTTGTATTTTTAGTAGAGATGGGGTTTTACCATGTTGGCCAGGCTGGTCTCAAACTCCTGACCTCACGTGATCTGCCCACCTCAGCCTCCCAAAGTGCTGGGATTATAGGCATGAGCCACTGTGCCTGGCCCATAGGGATGCATCTTTAGACCACGGCCTGAGGTTTCTTCACCACTTCTGCTTTTCTTCTTCCCATTAGCAAAGCCACTCAAACTTACAGGAAGTCATTGGGAGAGCTGCCTGTATATTTAAATTATCCTGCATATGGAATTTGGCTGAGCAAACCACACAGTGACATGTACCGGCATCTATGTGGGAGGGAAGAACTGGAATTTACGAGGGGAAGATATCCACGCCTTTTAGATTCTGAATACAGGGGGGACTCAAAATACATTACCATGTTGAACACCAAAGTGCAAAAAGATCTATTTGCTTGTTACGTTCTGCAGTGCTTTTTCGCTGCTCTTAAAAGCTCATACCTAGATCCACAAACATCTTGATATTCAGCCATTACTCTAAAAGGGTATGTTATACCTCCCATGATCAAAAGGGGAGGAAGAAACAATCAGTTCAGTCAAAAAGAGGTATTTAGAAAATGTTCTTTGGCCCTATAGCCACCCTTCTCAGGTTTTCCAGCTTTTCTATCCTGGCACTGCTCTTCCATGATAAACATGATCATTTTCACCTTACACAAACACTTCCTTGTGCAGGAAAAGGGAATGGAGCCCTTCAGGCTGTTTCTCTCTCTGTGTCCAAGAAAGGCCACTCAGTCAAGGGTTTTGTCTTTACTTGAAAAGTTAGTATTGGAAACATTTGCATCTAGGGTGAAAAGGACTAGAGGGCCAGCGTAGACATGGTGCTATTATGACACATGGCATGGGACTTTTTCTGCCAGCTTGATGTGAGTCTAGGGAGGCCACTCAGCAGGCAAAATGAAACCAAGTCTTTACTCAAACATAGACACTGCTTGGGTTTGAATGCCGGTGTTTCCATTTGCTGGGTATATGACCTTAAACCTCTCTCTGCATCAGTTTTCTCAGCTGTTAAAAGATAGGGATGAAAACAATACCTACAATGTAGACATTTTCTGAGGCCCAAGTTAAGTTAATCCATATTAAGGGCTTAGAAAAGTATCAAAAGCTCAATAAATGTTTGCAATTATCATCGTAAGCATCAAGATACAAGCTTCCTGTGGAATTACGGTTGCCATCCCATTTATAGTAAGAGGAGAGTTTATCCAACTCTGGTTAAATTACAACCTTAAAAATTCCATTCTCTTTCAAATCTATCTGCAGATAATAGTTACAAATTGTGTTCTTAAAAAAAAAATCATTCTCTCCAAGTGCTAGATAATTTTCCTTCCATCTACTACTAAAACATTCTAGTTTTTTTTTTTTTTTTTTTAACTGGGTTCAGTATGTTGCATTGAGACATGTTTATGATATCTGACAATTAGCAGATTTTTAAAAATAAGATACTACAGAAAATGCAATGAGTATTCTCCTAAGCAAAGAATTCTCTCCTCCTTCAATTACAACTTGGAGTATTTATTTCAGAAAAGAATATCACAAAATGGCTATTTTCTGCCTCTGATGTGATTAAAACCTACACAGGTCTTTTTGTGTTTGTGTGAGCACCTGCTAGTTTAGCATTTTTCTAGCTTCACTCGCAACCAGTTAGAAGACTATGAAATACATGATTTTTTAAAAAGCCAACAGAATAGTAACTAAGTGTGAGTCATACATAATAAGGGTAAATCTTGTTTTGTGAGATTTCTAGTTTTGTTTTATATACATAAATATGTATGAAGGTATGTGCGTACTGGAGTTGGCATGTAATAAATTCCTTATTGTAAGTCCCAATCCAGACTTCAATAAACATCATCCTAGAGGACTGGCATAATGCTTTGTTTTAATTAAATCATCCTACCACATGCCAGGTAGTACACTAATTTATAGGAGTGAGTAAAACCTTGCAAGGAGCCCACCAAGTGTACTCCTGGTAAGAACCCATGCTTTCTGTTTTCATTGAGAAGAAAGGTGTGGTGATCATTGGCCTTGCCCATCTGGTCTGTTTCTTATGAAGATACCTAGAGCAATAAAAACTAACCAAGTCTGATTGTCATAAAAGGTCAAAAGTAAATGACTGTTACTTTGTAATAAGTAGTTGGAGTAGAAAAAAATACACACTAATTTATAAAATCACCTTGTTAGTAATAATTCATGTTACTTCTTGCTAGCTCTAGTGTTCTTTAAAGATTATGTGTACTTTTATTATTTGCTGAGTTTTCTCCTTATTTAGCCTGATAACTAATCCACTGTCTGGACGCATACTGCAAATAGTCCCTTCATGCTTTTATCCCTGGCCTCCTACAGATTTCAAGCTCCCTGCAGGCAGGGGCTCTTCTGATATCTCCTTCACATAATGCCTAGAAGAGTAACAGATGCACACCAAATACCCAATAACTTTTGTTGAGGGTTAAGGAAAAAGTATGGAAGCTTTTACCTTGGAGGAACCGGTAGCCTGGGGCACAGCGAGTCTGCTTTCGGACTGTGGGTGTAGTTGAAGGAATTCAAACTATAAACACACAGGAAGGATCCTGTAAGCAGAAGACACGGATATTATACCACTTTCCCAGGTGAGTCAGTAAGGAAACCAGTCATGTTACCAAACCAGAAAGGAGAAAGAATCAACTAGGTCTATGGGTGACGGAAACACAGACAGAATAGGCATATAATCTGAGGTCTAGTGAGGGCCTCCCTCACGTTCTCTTCAAAATCCCAAATTCAAAACTAAAAGTTAGGTGATTGGTCCTAAAATAATCTGAAGCATATTTGAAAACGATGTAGAATGTTGATAGTTTAAACCTGGCTTTGCAAATAATTTTTGAAAATCTGGCAAACCATTTCTTAGGCAGATAAAATTCTGAACAGTGGACCCAGTACAAGGTACTTTAGTTACACAAATGCTTTTGGTGCAACTAACGATATCCGACTGCTCAGTGGAAGGATCTATTGGCCCTGATAATCTCATGAAAAGACCTACTTGTCAGCAATTCAGCCCACAGCCTGCACATACATCTCTAGGACTGGATGTGCCCACATGCCTGGAGCTCCCTGACTTCCTTCTGACCCTGCCATTGGGTCCCAAATGTGGGCTGTCTCCTCTCTCTCTATGGATGACCATTCCCCTAAAGTGGCAGGGAGCATATGTGTAACAGTCAGATAAATCTGGATAGAACCAAAATAACCTGAACAGCTCAAGGGAAAATGCTTACGGCCTTTTTCACACAAGAGGAAGCGTTCACAAGGAAGTAAACCTTCCAGCTTTCCAGAGAAAGCAGAGTCAGGATACATGATCTCATCTGGGTCCCACAGCTTACTCCACCATGGGGAAAAGACTGAACCAGGTCCTAATGCCTACCACTGGTGTTTGCAAAGAGCTGGACCTCTTCCAGGGAGTCAAGCTGCTCTTCAGGGCAGCGGGATACGCAGAGGGCTGTGCGGTCGAGCTGCACACCTTTGACTTCCAGGTTGCAGGAATTCATAAAGAACACGTGTCTAGGAGACAGATGAAACAGAAGAATGTGTTAGAGCACTGCCTCTCACTGGGCTTAATTGTGGGCCTTAAAAATATCCACATGCTATCAAATGCAGGGTTCCCCCAGGCACACTTTCATAATTAAATGTTCCAGCATAATTGAACATTTATCATGCTTACTGGTGGTCATCCATGAGGCTGTGCAGCTTGGAAACTGTCTACAAATGGTAACAAAGCTTTATTTCTCCAGATTTAGTGTTTTCTAGGGGATAACACTGGGGATTTACCTGAGAAAATCTGAGGAAGAGAAGCCATTGATTAAACTGCCTGTGAATTGGTAGATCAGGCCAATGCACACACTATTCAAAGGACTCCATGGAGAACACATTTGTACCCAAGACTGTTCAAATATGCTTCAGAAAATAACTGAACACAGGGAAGTGAGCAGTGGCAAGGAGGGGGCCGAGGCTGGGAACTAAAGGCTTGCCTTTCCCCTTTTCTCCCAAGTTGAGAGCCAGGAGGCTCAGGAGAGCCCTCCCGCAGCTCCCCAGGGACAGGGTAGAGGGGGCACAAGAACGAAACTGGAGTTGCCATCGGCAGGTTATGCACTAGCAGCCATGGCTTCCGGACTCCTGCCCAAGCACTTATCCAGGCTCTGAGAACTCGGGAATGGCAGAGGAAGACCCCATAGGCTGCCCTCTGTGGGAGAGACCTTGAGAAGGGGTCCCAGAAGGTGTTTCCTCCTCCTATTGGGCATGGAAGAAAGGTGGTGCAAGAGGAGATGAGAAAGAGATTTCCTGGGTGTATGATGTATGTATTTTTGCAAAAGTTTAAAAAGTATGTTAAAATATACATAAAATTTACCATCTGAACCTTTTTTTTTTTTTTTTTTTTTTTTTTAAAGACAGAGTCTTGGTCTGTCACCAGGCACCAGGCTGAAGTGCAGTGATGTGATCTCGGCTCACTGCAACCTCCGCCTCCCGGGTTCAAGCAATTCTCCTGCCTCAGCCTCCCGAGTAGCTGGGATTACAGGCACGTGCCACCACGCCCAGCTAATTTTTGTATTTTTAGTAGAGACAAGATTTCACCATGTTGACCAGGATGGTCTCGATCTCTTGACCTCATGATCTGCCCGCCTTGGCCTCCCAAAGTGCTGGGATTACAGGCATGAGCCACCACACCTGGCCACCATCTGAACCTTTCTAAGTGTCCAGTGACATTAATACTTTCATGTTGTTGGGCTATCATCAGCACCATCCATTGGCAGAACTCATTTTCCCAAACTGAAATCTGTACCTATTAAACAAGAAGTTGCCACCTGCCTTTCCTCCAGCCCTTGGCAATCTCCATTCTACTTTCTCTTTCTAGGAATTTGACTCCTTTACATATCTGATGTAAGTGGAATCCTACAATGTTTGTGTTTTTGTGACTGGCTTATTTTACTTGGAATGATATCTTCAAGGTTCATCCATGTTGTAGCATGTGTCCGAATTTCCTTCCTTTTTTTTTTTTTTTTTTTTTTTTTTTGGAGACGGAGTTTCGCTCTTGTTAACCCAGGCTGGAGTGCAATGGCGCGATCTCGGCTCACCGCAACCTCCGCCTCCTGGGTTCAGGCAATTCTCCTGCCTCAGCCTCCTGAGTAGCTGGGATTACAGGCATGCGCCACCAGGCCCAGCTAATGTTTTGTATTTTTAGTAGAGACGGGGTTTCACCATGTTGACCAGGATGGTCTCGATCTCTCGACCTCGTGATCCACCCGCCTCGGCCTCCCAAAGTGCTGGGATTACAGGCGTGAGCCACTGCGCCCGGCCTTCCTTCCTTTTTAATATTTCACTGTAATGTACAAATCACATTTTCATCATCCATTCAACCACTGACAGACACTTGAGTTGCTTCTACCTTTTGGCTTTTGAGAATAATGAATACATACTCACTTCAACCAGGAATGACTGTTTCTTGACACTGCATTATGAACACAACGTGAAATGGGAGCACGTGGGCATCTAGGTTGACCTCCCTCCTCCTGTCTTCTTTTAAGTGGCTCTATAAGTGCAGGAGAAAATGCCCCCTAAACAGTCCATGCCCAGAAATGGCAAGAGCCCCCCTGGGAGCAACACTCAGGAGGTTGCCGGGGTGGAGGGTGGGACACAGGTCCCCAGCATTCCAGGTGGGTTCAGGTGTTTCCACATAGAAACAACACGTGGATGATGTAGGCTTCAAACATACGATTGGTAACATGATTCTAATAAGTGATGGCGAATAATAGCAGCAATGAACATTTATTACACCTTAGCTCATGCAGTGTCTCCTGGATCCTTAAAATAACCTTGTTGTAAGGTAGGTATTATAACTAGGTGAGAGAGATGAAAACTAGGCTTTGAGAGGTTAAGTACTCTGCCCAAGATTATACAGCTGAAAAGTCGCATGGGCTGAATTTGAACTTAGGACTGCTGATTCTAAAACTGTACCCTTACTCGTGCTATACCCACAGCCTCCCTTTTTATGAAATAGGCTGACAGAGTTTTGAATGGGAAAAGTTTTCAGGCTTTAAATGACGAATTTATACAAAGTTTTGAGGCACAGCTCCTCTACAGACTGGGGACTTACTGTTTTAGGGTCATGTCCTGCCCTGAAAGAGGGGCCCCTTCCACGGGGGAGTTCTTCTTGCCACACACGTTGCCAAAGCTGTCATAGCCGAAGAGGAGTCTTTCCGCGGCTCCAGCCACCACCGAGTAGCCCATGATAAACACCTGGCAAAACACAGGGCGTATGAGAGCCTGAGCGAAGGGCCATGTGCACAGTGCCCCACACCCCTGCAGATGCTGATGTGAAATGCAGCTTGCTGAGGTGGGAAGGTCTCCGGCGTAATAGCCCTTCGCTGCGGCAGCAGCCACGTCCACAACTCCAATCTATCAGCATCCTGCTCTTCTGATACTTTTAAGCTTAGGGAGAAAGGATTCTAATCCACTGAAACAGATTCCTCTCCATTTTCTTACTTCTTTGTACTTTTTCCTTAAGAGCCTGTCTTTTTTTTTTTTTTTTTTTTTTTTTTTTGGTTTAACTTCAGTGGGCCAACTCAATGTTTTTTCCCCTTGAGGTTCTTACTTTATTTAAGTGCTTCTGGGCTATGCTAATTCTTTCCCTGAGGTGTTTTTTTTGTTTGTTTCTTTGTTTACTACTACTTTTTTTCTTTTCTTACTTTTAGGGGATTCTGCAGAAGCAATACAGTTGATAGGTACTGAAATACTGTTCACAAGTCTGCAAATAGCGTTTTGGAATAACTGCTTCAGACATACAAAATAAAGAACCACAGGAATTCTGTTGGACAAGCTATCATCATTTTTATCCACTTTCATAGCGAATGTGGAGTATTTGAAATTTCAGTTCAAACAGCTGTGCCCTGAATACATACTGACAGGCTCTCCACCAAGACTGAATATATATCTTCCCATAACACAAACGTAGTAAGTTTCCCAGCATTATAGACAATATACAGGAAGCCATTTAATACTCTATATTGACAAGTTCATTCCAGGAGAGAGGATATAATACACCATTCATTAATATACAGCACTGATACCTCATGCTGCATTGGTACATTGTCCTGAATTCAAATACCTTCTAGATATTTTGCCCTCATTACTAACTTAGAAATCAAAATAACAAACATTCTTCAAGTGCCCAGTGTGTACCTGAGATGTTGTTACTGGGAGACACAGGAATGACCAGAACCTACTTCTTGCCCTCAAGGAACCCAGCCTAGAAGAGAAGCAGGACTTTCTGGCTGCAGACTTCCTAAGGAAGGAGGCTCCTGTCCTTCCCCACTCTCCAAGATCCTCCCAAGTCTAACTGGTCAGATTCTAGAAGGAGTGGGTCACCTTTGCCAGCAGACTGTGCTACTCACCCTTTACCTAAAGGCTGTGGATGCAGGTATGACTCTGTGTGCCCACGTGGCTACCATGGCAAGCTGACCGCGCCTTGACATGCTTGTCCCCTGTCCTTTGAGTTGGAAGGTAGTAAGGTCTTGACTGTGTTTGCACTTAGGGGGAGGAGAGGGGTCATATGCTTCTGCCTAGCTCACCAGGGATCTAATAACAAAGTGATGTTTTCCATTTACTATCGTTCTTTCCCTAGGAAAGCCTGTGGTGAAGAGTGGAAAGTTTTTCTGGGTGGGAGAGATGGGAGTAGGATTTGAGTATTCCCGAGTCCCTGTTAATACAACTACAACTTTATTATTATTATTTATTTTTATGTTTTATAGAGACAGGGTCTCAATTGATTGCCAAGGCTGGTCTTAAACTCCCGGCAACAAGGGATCTTCCTGCCTCAGACTTCCAAAAAACTACTACTATAAACCTTTATTGTCCTAATTTCAAACATGCAACTGCGATTCCATATGAGAGGTGAGGTAGGAGGTGTGTACACTGCTCTGGTGGAGCCACGAAGGTGGTCACCATCAACCATGCCTGCAAAATCAGGAAGATGGAATCTCGAGAGACAAACAGGAATCTTTGAGAGAAAATGGAATCTTTGAGACTTTGTGCCTTATGTTTAATGCAAATATAAACACAGGCTGGCGCTGCATTTGCAAGAACCATCGCTGCTTATAATTTCAGCTCCTTCCCCCAAGCCTTTGTCTAGCCCTAACTCAGGGCAGCACCATCAATAATAATCCTGTTCAGCACATCACTAGTCAAGACATCTGCCACAAGACCTGAAAGCTGAACAACAGAGGCAGAAAAAGAAAAAAAAACAAAACACTCCTTGCTTTGTTTTAAGTATCTGTGAATAAAAACTGTTGCATAACATTCTTGTCTACTTTATCCTTTCTGTCTGGTTACACATTTTTTTTTAAAACTTCGATAGAAATATGCATCTTAAATGGAAAACAAAAAAGCCAGTTAGCTAAGAAAGAACTCTGATTCTTCAAACAGAATGCTATCGTGAGAACTTGGACATATTAAAACCTTCAGACTTACTTGGCTGTGATAGGTCATCTACAAAGCCTTTACCCAGCAGTCTCAGGTGCCGGGCTGAGAGTTTTGTAGTGAGGTCCGAGGCTGAAGCTGTGGAGGGGCTAAGGCAGATCATTAAATCACAGTAACAGCTTGAGGTCAAAGCTGCCGGGCACAAGGCAGGCCAGCTGCTCCCTGCATTTATACAACAGCAGTCTTAGAGAAAAACACCAGCCATCTGTGAAGTTAAGCAGAAGGTATCCTAGGTGCACTGTCTCTTGGCTTTTAGAGGAGAGTTCCAATGTAAGCAAAAATCATCTGATTTAGTGTTTCAGGCCTAACCTTCCACTGTGCCTGGAACCAAGTCTGTCTATGTGAAACGGGTCACAAGTGAACAAATGCCTTTCTTACTTGGAAAGAGGAACAAACACGGTATTTTATGGTCTATTCAAATAGAATTCTTTGCAACAAAGGTAATTAGGATCTGATAGTTATTATCCTCCTCTATAAATTAATCATTTACCATGCAGCAAACAGCACGCCTCAGCCTGGCATGGATGATTTCATGAAAGTGGCCTTTGAAAATGTCGGGTGAGACATTTTCTGCTGTTACCTACAACTCTAAAATAAGTATAAAAGCAGCAAAATTCGACTTCCAACAGACTCTCTGAGGATTAAAACCACACAGTGTGATGGGGTTTGCCAGCAATCATACATACCTGGAAACTAGTGTAGGAAAAATCATTTCTTATTAGCTATGGCTAACAGTGTTGGCGGCTAAACACAACATATCGTGTGTGTGTGTGTGTGTGTGTGTGTGTGTGTGTGTTGTTCAGCTAAAGGAAATGCAAGTTATTTCTAGGCTTACGCTGGCTTTTCCTTTGTTAAAGGTGCACCAACAGCTTGAGGAATATTTGATTTGGGAGTGTGGCAGGTGGTAAAAGAACTGCTTAGTAAATTCGGATAGTGAGAGGAGACACATTGGCCTTACTAAATAACGATCACATTGCAAACGGTTAATTCCCATTTCCTAATGGAGTCACCCCTTAGAACATGGCCTGGAGCAAAAAGACCGTCCGGCTTTCTAGCCAGTCTAGGATAAGAACTCTCTCGACTACTAACTGGTGTTTATTGTGGGTTAATGGCAGAAGTCTCTCACTGCAGCACCAACTACCATTTACATTTGGGACAGAGTTATTTCCAGACGCGCACACACTCTGGCCTCTTCTCTTGCCAAGCACCCACACTTACCAAACCAGTCCAAAACAGAAAGAACAGGAATAACCATGCCGTATCTGTGCGTTTCCTGTAAATCTGGGGTCGCCACTCCCGAGGGGCTCCTGCAGAAACCTTCCAGAAAAACGGAGAGTTGAGAAAAAAGATAAACAGGTAGAGTTAACCTGGAAACCTAACCCACATCTACTCGAAGAGTGCTCAAAGTAACCAATCTTTTTCTAAATTTTTAAAATTAAGTTTTTGTTGTTTTTTTTTTTTTCCTTCCCCGTGACCACGGGCAGCTCTTTCACGCAGCCTTTGAAACACCTGCTGTGTGCGGGGCGGATGTTAAGCCGCCAGCCGCCAAGTGCTCTCACCTGGAGGTGCACCTGAGGGCGGCCCCAAGTTCGTGCCCCGGGGCCCGGGTCTCCCCGGCCTCCGCCCCAGCACCAGAGTAGGGTCCGGGGTCCTCCCCGCCGGACGGCCCCAGGTACCCGGCGGGGGCGCGATCCCTGAGGCGCGGGAAAGGCGGAAGCGTCCCGGCGGGGCAGGTGCGTGCAGGAGGGGGACCCGACCCTGCCCGAGGGGGACCCGACCCTGCCCCGGGGCTCTTTCCCCGAGGGCCGAGGCTGCGGGCGCTTACCAGGCACTCGGCGCCCGAGCAGGGCATCGCGCGCTCGCCGGCGGGGGCGGTGACTGGGAGCCGCCGTCTCCAGTGCGCGGAGACGCAGCGCCCGCGGGCCGGGGCCGGGGCCGGGGAGGGGCGAGCGGGGCGCGGCGCCGCCTCCCGTTCGCCTCTGCGCCTGGCCCGGCGGCCGCGGGCGCCCAGGTGCACTGGATCCGCCTCTTCCCTGCGTGGGGTCCTGCCCTGGAGGGAGGAAGAGGCTCAGGCGCTTCCCTGTCCTCTCGCCTCAACCGCCTGGCGGGTGCCCCTCGAAGACTGCAGCTGAGCCGGCGCCGCCGCGACCTTGGGCGGGTGGTCGGCCTCGGCCGTCAGCTGGAAGCCGAAGTCTCAGCCGATCCTTCCTGAGGGCGGAGCGGCAGTGTCGTGGTGTATTCTACACAGCAAACAGGTGAGCAGCATTTACTGTGTGCGGCGCGGATTCTGTTCTCATGGCTGTTGTCATTCCTAATCTACGGAGGAGGGAAACTGAGGCACGGCCAGCGACGATGCAGCTTGTTCTAGGAGACAGAGTAAGCTGCGGGGGCAGGAGTCGAACCCAGACACTCCAGGAGACCGGCGCTCTCGAGGTGGTTTACTCTGACTTCTCTCCCACTTTGCCTTAGGCCAATCGTTGCCTGACTTCGCAGATGCAATGGTAGCGTCCACTGAAGCGACTGGTGGGGTAATTTTCCAGGTAATATCAGACCAGCACAAAAGCTCTGTTGGGGTGAGGAATTTAAAAAACAACCAAACCAAACCAAACAAAACAAAACAAACCAACAAAACAAAAAAACCCACACACACACAGAAAAAACTGCAGACCCGCCTCTCCCCACCTCTTCCCAATCCAGCCTCTACCCTTCCCTCTGCCACCCTCAGGGCTGCTAGGTTAATTGCTTCCTTTAGGTGCTGCTTCTACCTAATGGTAGAAACCTGACTGCAGGAGAGATCTAGCAAAGTGGCAGAAACTGGGAGTGAGAGACAGTGGTTCTCTGGTGCACGTGACTTCCTTCTGGGCTAACACCACCCTCCCACTCCAAACTCACTGGGCCTTCCTGGATACATGTTTATTAGACAGAGTAGGTGAAACTCCAAGTGGTCTAGATCTAGAGTCCATACTTAGAACTGTACTTCAAGCTATTCCATTCTGCCTTCCAAATAGAGCAGCAATTACGATAAATGTAAGCGGGTTAAACTTACCAATTACAAAAAGAACAGCCTTTCAAAGTGAATGAAAACAAGGGATTCAGCAATATGTTTTCTACAAGAAACTTGTTTAAAACAAATAGACACTGAAAGGTTAAAACTAAAAAGGTATAGCACAAACATGAACCACAGAAAGCTCAGGTAGTAATTTTAAAACCTGACACAAGTTAAGATAAAAAGTTCATAAAGGAGGTCATAAATGTGCCTAACAATGCAGCTTTAATATTTATTAAGCAGCAGCTAACGGAAGTTTAGGCAGAAACAGATAAATCAAAATTATAGTTGGAGGATTTTAACTAGCCAATAGATCAAGTAGACAGTAGATACCTCCTCTCCTCTCCCAACACACATACACACAGAAAACAAATATAGAAGGTCTGGACAATATAATTAATAAACTCGAGCCATTAGATATTTACAACTCATATACATTTCCATCAAACAGTGAATACATGTTCTTTCCCTTTTCAGGTACATGTGAAACATTAAAGCAAAAACATAAACTGTGTATTCGATCTTAAAGGAAGGCCCAATAAATTTCACAGTGCAATAAAATTAGAAGTAATGAATAAAAATATGTGTGGTGGATAGATTTTAAGGTCTCTATGATTTCCACCTGCTGGTGTTTACACCCTTATGTAGTTCCCTTCTTTGGAAGTGGGTAGTCCCTGTACCTTTTAACCAATTATGATGGTTAATTTTACGTATCATTTTGAATAGGTCAGTCACAGGGTATCCAGATATGTGGTCAAACATTATTCTGGGTGTTTCTGTGAGGCTGTTTCTGGATGAGATTAGCATTTAAATTGGTGGACTGAGTAAAGCAGGTTTCCCTTCCTAATGTGTGTGGGCCTCATCCAATCAGCTGAAGGCCTACATAGAGCAAAAGGCTGACTCCACCCCCCAGTAAGAGGATTCTCCTGCCTGATGGCCTTAGAACTGGGATATTGGCTCTTGGTTTACAGCATCCTACTGGCCTTTGAACTTAAACTAGAAAATTGACATTTCCTGGGTTCTATAGCAGCTTCCAGCCTTTGGACTTAAATTGGAACATTGGTTTTGCAGATTTTGGACTTGCCAGCCTCCATAATCCCATGAGTCAATTCATTATAATAAATCTCTTTATAATATCTATTATCCATCTGTCCATCCTATTGGTTCTGCTTCTCTAGAGACCCCTAATACACCAAAAGAATACAGTAAATGTGATGGAAAGTCATTTCCATGATTACATGACATTAAGAAAGAAAGAGAACCCAGTTGGATTGTGCCCAGACTCCTGACCAACAGAAACTACAAGATAATAAATGTGTGTTGTTTTAAGTCACTGCATTCCTGGTAACTTTTCATGTACAATAAATAATACAGCAGATATGTTAGTTCATTCTTGCACTACTATAAAGAAATACCTGAGACTGGGTAATTTATAAAGAAAAGAGTTTTAATTGGCTCACGGTTCTGCAGGCTGTACAGGAAGCCTAGTGGCTTCTGTTTCTGGGGAGGCCTCAGGAAACTTACAATCATGGTGGAAAGTGAAGGGAAGCAGGCATGTCTTACATGGCTGGAGCAGGAGAGAGAGACGGGGAGGTGCTACCTACTTTTAAATGACCAGATTCCACAATAACTCACTATCATGAGAACAGCACTGAGGGGATGGTTCTAACCCATTCTTGAGAACTCAGCCCCTATGATCCAGTCACCTCCCGCCAAGCCCAACCTTCACTACTGGGGGTTACAATTTGACGTGAAATTTGTGTGGAGACAGACCCAAACCATATCAGCGGAACAGCACGAACAAAACCTCACAAACAGAAACCAAAAAATACCCCATACCTCATTTGGAAACCAAATAACATCTTACTAGACAATGTCCTTGAGTCATAAAGGAAATTAAGAAATATTTAAAATTGAATATTAATAAAAATCTACATGTCAGATTGGAACACATCTTAAGTGCCAGTTAGATGGAAATGTATGGTTATATCTGTCAGGAAACAAAAGGTTAAAAAGAAAGTAGCTAAGCATTCAACATAAGAAGCAACAGCATCTGCAGTGAAACAAAAAGAAAGGCAATAATAAAGATATGGGCAGAAGTCAGTGACACAGAAAAGCAGAGAAAGATGAATAAAACAGAAGTCAGTCCCATGGAAAAGATTAAGAAGACCAAACTTTGGCAAGACTGGGAAAAAAGAGGAAAGACTCAAATAAAATAAGACAGAATGATGGAGGCAATAACAAAAGATATTAAAACAGTTAAAAAGTGTTATGGGCCGGGCGCGGTGGCTCAAGCCTGTAATCCCAGCACTTTGGGAGGCCGAGGCGGGTGGATCACGAGGTCAAGAGATCAAGACCATCCTGGTCAACATGGTGAAACCCCGTCTCTACTAAAAATACCAAAAATTAGCTGGGCATGGTGATGCGTGCCTGTAATCCCAGCTACTCAGGAGGCTGAGGCAGGAGAATTGCCTGAGCCCAGGAGGCGGAGGTTGCGGTGAGCCGAGATCGCGCCATTGCACTCCAGCCTGGGTAACAAGAGCGAAACTCCATCTCAAAAAAAAAAAAACCAAAAACTGTTATGAACCCTAATATATGTAAACCTAGATCAAATGGATATGTTCCTAAAAATATAAAATGCAGTAATTGGTATGAGAAGAAATAGAGAATTTGAATAAACCGCAAAGTGTTAAGTAAATTGAAGTGGCAGCCAAATATCTCTCGTAAACTCTCCCCACCCCAGCTCAGATCTAGAGGCTTTTTCTATATTATAGAAATTAACTTTTTTTTTTTTTTTTTTTTTTTTTTTTTTTTTTTTTTTTGAGACGGAGTTTCACTCTTGTTACCCAGGCTGGAGTGCAATGGCACGATCTCGGCTCACCACAACCTCCGCCTCCTGGGTTCAGGCAATTCTCCTGCCTCAGCCTCCTGAGTAGCTGGGATTACAGGCATGTGCCACCATGCCCAGCTAATTTTTTGTATTTTTAGTAGAGACGGGGTTTCACCATGTTGACCTGGATGGTCTCAATTTCCTGACCTCGTGATCCACCCACCTCAGCCTCCCAAAGTGCTGGGATTACAGGCATGAGCCACCGCGCCCAGCCTAGAATTTAACTTTTAAGAAACAGTTAGTTTCTATAATATACAAGTTGCACCAGAAATAGAAATAGAGGAAAAGTTGCTCAGGTCATTTTATGAGGCCAGCATCAAACTGATACCAAAACCAAATAAAGATTGTACAGAAAAAGAAAAGGAAGAAAGAACTATTACACTTGTGACCTAAGATGTCATTTCAAATAACTTTATTGTTTGCTTTTAAAAATCCAGTTTTAGGAATTTCCTGAAGATCTGTTTATTAGAGAATAGGCTAACAACTGGATAATAGCTGTCATCAGGACAATACGTAGATCGCTCAGCTGGGTTACCACACGACTGTGTCCTTCAAAACTCACTTCAACTCCCTACCCTTCATTGTGCCCACCAATTCTCAACTTAGTATAGTACAAACTGGCCAATTAAATCAGCATCCGTGAATTGAAAAACCCCTCTTATGCCAAACCCTAAACCCTGAATATTCGTAAATTCTCAATAATACTAAATGAAAATAAATCGTTATTGATTGCCTCTCGAAAATTCTAGGAGTCAACTCATTTCAAAAACTTAAAGGGAAAGAATCAAACACATATTCTGCCTCTCTTATATGAACAGGGTAATCAAATAATTGATGAGGGAAATTTCTCTTGATAGACATATTGTGTCTTATAGATGAGGATGACCGTTGCAACCTCTGCCTCCCCGGTTCCAGCGTCTCTCCTGCCTCTGTCTCCTGAGTAGCTGGGACTGCAGAAGCCCGCCGCCATGCCTGGCTAATTTTGTATTTTTAGTAGAG